TTGGAACGGAAATAAACACATCTTATCCAATCATGGAAAAAAGATAACTGAAGCAACCATCATCCACGAGGATTAAACTCTATGGGGAATTGAGAAAGGATGGACATTTTTTGCTTAAGGGCTGACAACTCTATTGGAGAGAGACAACAAACCCAATCACTTGGTGAAAAAACACCAAAGTGAAACAGGAACATGTAATAACCAGAGATAGCAAAAATGCACGGATGCTATGCATATGCTTTATGCTATGCTTATGTTTATGCTGACAAAACAGGCGAAACAAAACAGGAGACGAAATAAACATCTCGACCGGATACCCAGCCAACCTCACCAAAATTTGGATATCAACGGGGATGATTATAAAGATCAACCGTTCCACTTCAAAGTTACAACCTTCTCCGGGAGAGAGTAATCTATTTAGGACACAACATCATGACTTCACTCGGATTGCCATCATGAGCTTGAATTCTTTGTTGAAGGAAGAATCACCAAAGGAAATTCCAAGATCAACCGAAGTAACAACTTAATCGGAGAGCTGACAAAAGGGTATCATGAGAACCAAACATTTTCTGCCCCATTGATAGTATAACAATCCTCTTCAAGTGAGCAACGACTCTTGCGACAAACCGTCTTCCAACTTTTCTGCCCCAGATTACATGGTCCACAAGAAGGAATTGTCAAGAGGATTTTACAGAAGAATTGACATAGAAGATGCTTCAATATCTTCCAACTCTTGGAGAGATTCATGAATCTCGACATAACTGCCTCAGTTTAACGGTCTTTGAGAGATTAATCTAATCTCGGCTTGAATGCTTCTGATTAACTGGTCTAGAGTGGCTGGCCTTGAAAGGAGCTAGGAAACAACTTGTTTATAAGACCTCAAATGATGTGCCCTAGAACACATGGTCTGCAAGAAGAAATCATCAAGGGGATTTTACAGAAGAATTGACATACAAGATGCTTCAATATCTTCAAACTCTTGGAGAGACTTGGCGTAACTGCCCCAGTTCAACGGTCTTTGAGAGATTAATCTAATCTCGACTTGGTCGGCTCTGACTAGCTGAACGTTGTGACAAATGATTACCCAATCCTTCAAATTAGTTGCCCCAGGCCGAGCTTCCTTTATCAAATCCAATTCCCTAGCTGACAGCATTTGTTGGGATTCCTTTTGACATTGGATCGTCTAACAAACAATATTGTTCATTAAAAATTGACAATTTTCAATGTAAAATTCATGCAATCTTTTGAAAACAATTTTGATGAAACAATTTTGACAAGGGATGTATGCGAGAAATAAATAGTCTTATTGTAAGGTAGCCCAAAAGAAAGCTATATGTGTGCAAAGTGTCCTAAGCTATGAAATGGAAACAGGAATAAAAGGTTACATGTCTCCCTTCTGTTTAAAGGTAGCCCCACGAATCAAAGTCTTAATGATTAAGACCCAAAATCCTAAGGATGCTCCATGTCAAGTTAAGGTCAAAATACAAGGTCCAAGATGTCCAAAATACTCTAAGTCATGGTATGGTCAAACACAAAGTCCACAAGAGTCTTTCTTCTAGATCACCAATTACATTTTTGGTCTTTTCATTTTATCATGTTTTTGTTCTTTTGAAGTTATGATAACAAGACAAAAGGAATAAAAGATCAAAGAAAATAAAAATGACTTAAAGATAAAGTGCATGAATGATAAACGAGCAATAACAGTAAATTGCAAGAATGTAAAAATTTGAAATTAAATAAATTAGAAGTAAATAGTTAATAGTTAGTGATCGAATGATCGATTACTCACATCAGAACAATTTAGCGTTATGTTAAATAATCGTAAGTAGACTTAAATAAAAGTCACACCTATTTGAGGTCTGTCAATAATAATTTATATGCTCAAATATATTAGAGAAATAACATAAAGTTATTCTCTTAAAATATGTAACACAAGGAGTAAATTAAAGAAGAAAAATTTAAAAGAACTAAAACATGAATAAATTGTATATATTAAAGTACGTCCGCAAATCTATGTGCAAAAAGAGAAGCATTTTTGAAAATTTGCAAGGAGCTTAAAAAGATATAGGGTGTTTTAAGAAACTCTCCTACTTTAGTATCTTCGTAGTCTTTATGCTTTATTGTCCGGGTCTATGCCGGTTTGGTTGTTGATTCCTGATCCGTAATTGAACCTGATTGCTTTATAAATGGGGTTTAGTCCCATTGGTGATATCCTCTCTTGAAGCCAATTTTGGGCTTTCTTATCTATAAGTTTGGGCGTGAGGAAACCAAACACGGACAAGAAGTTTTACCTCATACCCCTACACTTATACTTATACCTCTACATTAAAATTTTTTGGACCAAAATATCCTCGTATAAAAATTTATTATTATTTTTATTTATTTACCGGAAGACTTTTTGCAAGTCTTCCGGTTCATATTTTTTTATTTGTTCACCGGAAGACTTTTTGGAAGTCTTCCGGTTCACATTTTTTTTCGTTTGTTTACCGGAAGACTTTTTGAAAGTCTTCCGGTTCATATTTTTTTCTTTTGTTCACCGGAAGACTTTTTGGAAGTCTTCCGGTTCATGTTTTTTTTTTAATTTTTAATTAATATTTAAAATTTATTAATTTTATATAAAGATCAATTTAGTGAATTTTTGAATATTATACTTAAAATATAAAAATTCTATAAATAGAGAATCATTTTCAGAATATTTTCTATTTGCTATAATTATTAGAATACTATGACATTAAAATCATTTATTTTAAATGATCATAATAGTAGAATTTTCTCAAATATCTTATTAATCTTAAACATTAATAAATAAAATAAATTTAAATATAGGATATAAGTTTACATTATTCAATATATTTAATCAAATGAAAACATATGTGATAAATCAATAATGTATTTTAACTTAAAATGATCACAATAAGTTAACTTGCAAAATAATATAAGTAATAAATTAATAATGTATTTTATTTAAAATAATCACAATAATAGAAGAAACAAATAATGTGTTTTATTTATAGGACTGATATAGTTTTATTGATTATTTAATTTTGAATACTACTATGAATATAGTATTTAAGCTATACTTTAGAACTCACATAATTATAAATATAAAACAATATTGTTTTATTACCCATATTTTTATTTAATTAAAAAAAATTAAGAATATAAATTTATTATTTGTTTTTCATTTTTGTTTGATCTTTTTTTATTTATAACTTTTTTGCATGTTCTATACTGTGCTTACTTTAAATAAAATATATTATTTATTTATATCTTATATTTTTACTTTATTAAAAATATTAAATAAAGTGAAATTATTACTTATATTTTAATTTGGTTGATTTATTTAATTGAAAGTTCGATTTAGTTTTTGTTTTTTGCAAGTTATATTATTATGATCATTTTAAATTAAAATACATTATTGATTTATCACATATGTTTTCATTTGATTAAATATATTGAATACGGTAAATTTGTAAATTTAGTAAGATTTGTTTGCAAATTCTAAATATATAATACTAATGTGATAATATTATGATAATTATAGCAAATAGAAAATATTTCTAAATTTTTTTCTATTTATAGAATTTTTATATATTAAACATAATAGATAAAAATTTACTAAAATGGTGTTTATATGAAATTAATAAATCTATTATGCTTAATATATAAAAATTCTATAAATAGAGTTTTTTTTTTAGAAATGTTTTCTATTTGCTATAATTATCATAATATTATCGCATTAGTATTATATATTTAGAATTTGCAAACAAATCTTACTAAACTTGCAAATTTACTGTATTCAATATATTTAATCAAATGAAAACATATGTGATAAATCAATAATGTATTTTAATTTAAAATGATCACAATAATATAACTTGCAAAAAAAAAAAAACTAAATCGAACTTTCAATTAAATAAATCAACCAAATTAAAATATAAGTAATAATTTCACTTTATTTAATATTTTTAATAAAATAAATAATATATTTTATTTAAAGTAAGCACAGTACAAAACACGCAAAAAAGTTATAAATAAAAAAAGATTAAACAAAAATGAAAAATAAATAATAAATTTATATTCTTAATTTTTTTTAATTAAATAAAAATATGGGTAATAAAACAATATTTTTTATATTTATAATTATGTGAGTTCTAAAGTATAGATTAAATACTATATTCATAGTAGTATTCAAAATTAAATAATCAATAAAACTATATCAGTCCTATAAATAAAACACATTATTTGCGTATTCTATTATTGTGATTATTTTAAATAAAATATATTATTAATTTATTATTTATATTATTTTACAAGTTAATTTATTGTGATCATTTTAAGTTAAAATACATTATTTATTTATCACATATGTTTTCATTTGATTAAATATATTGAATAATGTAAACTTATATCCTATATTTAAATTTATTTTATTTATTAATGTTTAAGATTAATAAGATATTTGAGAAAATTCTACTATTATGATCATTTAAAATAAATGATTTTAATCTCATAGTATTCTAATAATTGTAGCGAATAGAAAATATTCTGAAAATGATTCTCTATTTATAGAATTTTTATATTTTAAGTATAATATTCAAAAATTCACTAAATTGGTCTTTATATAAAATTAATAAATCTTAAATATTAATTATAAATTAAAAAAAAACATGAACCGACTTCCAAAAAGTCTTTCGGTGAACAAACGAAAAAATATGAACCGGAAGTCTTCCAAAAAGTCTTTCGGTAAACAAACGAAAAAAATGTGACGATAAACAAACGAAAAAAATGTGAACCGGAAGACCGATGAACAAATAAAAAAATATAAAAAAAATTAAAAAATAAAAAATTTTTATACGAGGATATTTTGGTCCAAAAAATTTTAATGTAAGGATATAGGTATAAGTGTAGGGCTATGGGTAAAACTTCACCCGGACAAAGAACAGCTGTATCAATCACGAAGTAAACGGCGAGCGAGGTTACCCGACGAAGAAAGAGCCATGGATCTTCTGTGCGCCGCATATTCAAATGCCGAAGAAGAAGAAGAACCCAAACGAATGAAATTATCCCACCATACTCCCACAACCTCATCAAAATCTTCTACTCTTTCCAATCTCCATACACAAACTCTCATTCCGGGTAGCTATGTTTCCAAACGACAACGCGCTTCTATTGCTCCTGCATCTCTTCCCCTTTCATCATCTCCTTCTTTCACATTATCTGGTACTCTTCTTTTATTCTCCCTCACTTGTTTTCTCTTCCTTCTTCAATGCATTAGGTTTTCATATGTCATTCAATTAGATTTTAACAGGGGAGTGGCGGAAGATTATTTTTTATTAGTTAGTAATCGGAAAGCCGAGCTAAATGGGCAAACCATTTGAAGGAGATTTCGTCTCCTTTTTGTTTAGTACATAAATGCCTTTCTTTCGGTATATCATGTTCCGTAATGCTCTAGGGATTGGAAATTAATTTTTTTTACTACACTTAGGTTAATTAAGCATAAGTACATATCAAAAGGACAAAGAAATAGAGAGATTGGATTAGCATCTAGTTTAAGGGAGCATCTCAATTATAATAAGTATATGGTTCTGTACTTCTGAAATACTTGTATGCTTATAGATGTTTATGGAGAAGAAAATTATGTTAGTTTTGAAAAAAATTGAAATGCACAAGATAATTCAATCGGTATTAGAAGCTGTATAGAAACCTCATGGTTATTACAAGATTCTTTTGATATTTGTTTTTTTCCAAGTGCTGGCGAAGATTATCCAAACAAGTTCATAATCTGTTATGACATTATTAAAGGAAAACAGATTTTTTTGGACTCAATTTGTGGCAAAACATATGAGCTACAAACTTTTGGACACGGAGTTTATTTCATGATTTTTATTTATGTTCCTTGATATAAGTTCCCAGTTAGTATTCTCTCTACTAAGTATTATTAAGGTATTATTTAAGGGAATTGAATAAACGGAAACAGGGCATATGATAGCAAAGAGGCCCCAAGACCCCTTGCCTTATATATAACTTCTTTTGGCATGGCTTTATCTTGGCCCAAAATCTAGTTCCTAATTTAGGGACCTCCACTTGTATTTAGTGAGGAAGGTCAATAGAAAAGAAGCAGCAGAAAGGGCAGCGGCATAACTTTGAAGCATGCAACAACATCATTTTTGTATCTTATCATTTGAGGCACAGGCTGGATGATGATTATATAATTACAATTTCTTTATTTCCTTACACAGAGCTTGGCCTTTTCTTGATTATACTTTTCTTATATATAGATAGATATGCTTGATATTTTAATGCTTCTATCTATTTCCACACCTCTATATTGAACTTTAAATCATTTACAGATTGATAGGAATGATCAGCTGGCCCATTATAGTATTAAGGGGCCCAAGCAGTGGTTGGTTGGTTTATTCTAGAAGGGGAAAAGGGGAATTTACTAGAAAGCCATGGGCTGTCAGCATGTGGCATGCCTTGGGAGTGACTGTAATCGTTTTACTACGATATATGGGGTCGAGCATCAGAGGAGAGAGGCATCTAAGAATTTAGGTGTGAGGCATCTAAGAATTTAGGTGTGATTGTTATTGTTGAATATTAGCACAAAATCAAAACAGATTCTGTCATACAGCTCATTATGGCTGGATTCAAATTGTGATTAAATAGAAATTAATTGTATTATTATATTCTTACCTTATTTAGGATTAGCATTTATAGGGAGAATAATTACCCCTATTTCTTAGTGTAATTTATATTCTATAAATACTCATGTACTATGTTACAGAATAAACAATATAGAAAAAGCATATTTCTATATGGTATCAGTAGCAACAAGAATCCTTTAGGTTTTTTTTTTTGTTTTTGCTTCCGCTCTGTTTATCTTTTTTACATCCCACAATGTCTGATACCGAGTCCTCACTTTCACCCAAACATTCCTCACCCGAACCTAAATTAGTCCGAACGTACCATGAAAACCACCCTGTTCAGATCACAACAATTCGGCTGAACGGTGCTAATTATCTTCGATGGTCGCAATCCGTTCGTATGTATCTCAGGGGGAGAGGAAAGATTGGCTACATTACTGGCGACAAAAAACAACCAGACAAGGCAGGTGCAGATTATGATACATGGGATGCTGAAAACTCCATGGTCATGACATGGTTAGTCAACTCCATGGATGAAGAGATAGGTGCAAATTATCTCTGTTATGATACTGCAAAAGAACTTTGGGAAGGTGTCTCCCAAATGTACTCTGATTTGGAAAATCAATCCCAAATCTACGAATTAACTCTCAAATTGGGAGAAATTCGGCAAGGTGAAGATTCAGTCACCAAATACTTCAATTGTCTCAAACGTATTTGGCAAGATTTGGACCTTTTCAATGAGTATGAGTGGAAATCACCTGCCGATAGCAAACATTACAAGAAGATGGTGGATGTTAGTCGTGTTTTCAAGTTCCTTGCGGGTCTAAATGTTGATTTTGATGAGGTTCGTGGCCGAATTCTAGGCAGAAATCCTATCCCTCCAATTGGTGAAGTCTTTTCAGAAGTACGTCGCGAAGAGAGTCGTCGGCAAGTGATGCTTGGAAAAAATACAGCAGCTGTCCCTCCACCAGTTGAAGGATCTGCCTTGGCAATTCCCCATGTCAATCGTAAACCACTTCATAATCAACGAGGTGGAGACAAGACTCATTTATTTTGCGATTACTGTGGGCGCAATCGCCACACTCGGGAAACTTGCTACAAACTACATGGGCGACCAAATCATGGCAAGGCTGGTAAGTTTGGTGATCGTCCTATGCCTATGGCCAATGAGGCTGATTCGTCTCCATGTACGAAGGAGCAAATGGATAACCTTCTTAAGTTTCTAAAGTCCAATTCATCTCTTAATATCCCTACTGGAACTGTGGCACAAACAGGTAAGGATTCTTGGGCACTATCTGCTCACAACCACTCTAACCCTTGGATAATAGATTCAGGGGCATCTGAACACATGACTAATTGCTCTCATCTATTCAGTACCTATTTTCCTAGTTCAGGTTTTGAAAAAGTTAGGATAGCTGATGGTAGTTATTCAAGTATTGCAGGCAAAGGCAGCATAAAAATTTCAGAGCAAATCACTTTGCAATCTGTTTTACATGTTCCTAAATTCGCTTGTAATCTTCTATCTGTTCATAAATTGTCTAAGGACACTAATTGTTCTGTTCTTTTTCGTCCCTCTACTTGTGTTTTTCAGGACCAGAACTCGGGGAAGACGATTGGAACTGCTAGAGAGATGAATGGATTGTACTACCTTGATGGAATTCAGTTTGGCAATAAAGCGTTTTTCGGTTCAAACAGTACAAACGCATCTCCTGTTTCAAATCAAATTATGTTATGGCATAAAAGATTAGGTCACCCTAGTTTTTCATATCTTAAGCATTTGTTTCCTATTTTTTCCAAAGAAATAAATTCCTCACAATTTCATTGTGAAGCTTGTCACTTAGCTAAAGATCATCGTGTGTCTTTTAAATCAAAAGCCTATTCTGCTTCTAAACCTTTTTATTTAATTCACAGTGATGTTTGGGGTCCTTCAAAAATTAAAACTATGTCTGGAAAAAAATGGTTTGTAACATTTATTGATGATCATACACGGCTGTGTTGGGTTTATCTCATGGAGAAAAAATCAGAAGTTGAACAAAGATTTCAAGATTTTTTTAACATGATTAACAATCAATTTCAAACTAAGATTGGCATTCTAAGGTCTGACAATGGCACTGAATATTTCAACAAATATTTAAGTACATTCCTTGTAACTAAGGGGATAATTCATCAATCCACTTGTCGCGATACTCCGCAGCAAAATGGTATTGCTGAAAGAAAAAATAGACATCTCCTCGAAGTCACTAGAGCTATTATGTTTTCTATGAATGTACCTAAGTATCTTTGGGGAAATGCTTTATTAACTGCTTGTCACCTCATCAATCGAATGCCATCTCGGGTGTTACAATATGAAAGTCCTGTACAAGTGTTACAAAACAATTTTCCTACATCTCGTATTATTACGGATCTTCCCCTTAAAATTTTTGGTTGTCTTTGTTATGTTTACATCCCCAATGTTCTTCGTTCTAAGTTGGATCCTAAAGCCGAAAAATGTGTTTTTCTTGGCTATGCTTCCAATAAAAAGGGATACAAATGTTTTAACCCAGTTACAAAGAAATTTTTTGAAAGCATGGATGTTCACTTTGTTGAAAATCAACCTTTTTTTAAAAATTCTCTTCAGGGGGAGAGTCAATGTAATAATAAAGAAGATAATTTTTGGGAAACTTTGCCTGCTCTAGATGATATTGTGACTACAAATCACCCAAATGCTAAGATAATAGAATCTGAAACAGGGGGAGAAACACTGATTAAGGATGATAATCCTGAACTTAAAGTGTATGTTCGAAAAAAATTCCACAAAGGTGGTGCAAACCCTATTGTCTCTCCAGTAGAAATCCAATCTGATTTACCAAGTGAAGGTCCTACAGATAATCTGTCTTCTAGTTCTTCATCTGGTAATCCTTCTTACTCATCCAATGATTTATCTGATTTGTCTTTTCCTGATATTAATCTTCCAATTTCTGTGAGAAAAAATATTCCTGACCTCGATGTCCCAATTGCTGAGAGGAAAGGTTCTCGTATGTGCACTAAACATCCTATGTCTAATTACTTGTCATATGATAAACTATCACACACCCATAAGGCATATGTGTCTAGGATTTCTAATTTGTTTGTGCCCAGAACTATTCAGGAAGCATTAAGTGATCCGAATTGGAAATTAGCAGTGAAAGAAGAGATGGATGCTCTAAACAAAAATAACACTTGGAGTATCACTGATCTACCACAAGATAAAAAGGCAGTAGGGTGTAAGTGGGTCTTTACAGTGAAATGCAAGGCTGATGGAAGTGTGGAAAGATACAAAGCGAGATTAGTAGCAAAAGGATTTACTCAAACTCATGGTATTGATTACCAAGAGACTTTTGCCCCAGTTGCTAAGATCAATTCTATCAGAATTCTTCTTTCTCTTGCAGTAAATTTCAACTGGACACTATATCAATATGATGTTAAAAATGCCTTCTTGAATGGTGAATTACATGAAGAAGTATATATGAGTTTACCTCCTGGATTTGAAAAAAATCTTGGAAGAAACAAAGTATGCAGATTGAGAAAATCCCTATATGGATTGAAACAATCGCCAAG